ATGGCAGGTAAATGGGACAGAAAGGATTGCTCTTAAAAGAACAGCACCAACCCAATAATATAATATATAATATAATTTAATATAAGAATGGCCTTCTTATATGCTATAAATTTCTACAGTTCTTGTGGTTTTACTGTCACTTGTGCTACAGTCTCTGCATTAGCTGCACTGTAGTCATTAAATAATGACTGTTGGAGGAGAGAAACAAATAATAATAATAATCCTTGCATTTGATATAGCAGCTTATCACGTCATTGGGATGTCTCAAAGCGCTTCACAGAATACACTGTAAAGTGAATTGACTGTATTTTTATGGGTGAAACACGACAATGTTCCCACAAAATGTTGTGGATTGAGTGACCAAATTACCAAATTATTACTTTTTTCTGAAACGAATCACTAAAGAAAAAGTAGCTACACTTCCCAGTTTCTGTAGTAAACTATCCAAACTGGGAGACAAAATCTTTGACCACAATTTTAACTATCATTCCCTCTCCACCCTCACGACAACGACAACAACATTACATTTTTGTATAGTGCCTTTTCACGTCGGGAGGACGTCCCAAGGCATTGGGGTACGACCACCCGAGTTTGAGTGCCAAGCCTTATTCGCTGTTTGGAGGGTCAGGAGAACTATATGGCTTCAATGTCCCTTGTCAAAATGTTGTTGTTACGTGATTACTGCTCAGCACATCTCAGACTGAACTTGAAATCAGAGCCTGTGAAATTTCCACACTAGCCATTCAAAATGTCTTGATGTAATCTCACAGTGTATACGTCAAAAGTCTCCTATTCAATGTCCAAGTCTATGACCACTGCTGTCATCAACAAATACAAATTTAATTTTATAGAGTGCCTTTAACATCAGGAGGATGTCCCAAGGTGCTTAATAATATGTCCTTGGCACTCAAACTGGGGGCGGAAGTCAAGGAGGGTGGGGTGGGGAGCGGAGGGCAAAGATGACTGAAGCATGTTCAAAAAGGTAGGTCTTGAAAGAAACTTTGAACAAAATGAGGGAGGGAGCGAGTCGGAGGGACTCCGGGAAGGAGTTCCAGAGTTCGGGGAGACATAAACTGAAACCCTTCTTGCCTGTGTTGGGGCAAGTAGGAAAGAGGGACATGAAGCAGGCCGGTGAGTGAAGGGAGTAAAGGAGTTGGTAGGGTTTGAAGAGGTTGCTGACATAAGGTGGAGGATACAACAACAACAACTTGCAACGGCCTTCATCTCAGAGCGCTTGACCACATAATAATAATAATAATGATAAATTGTTATCATCCTTGGGATCTTTAATGACCATCCGAATGTGGTTTAACAGCTCATCCGAAAGATGACACTTCCGACAATACAGCGCAATGTCATGTCAGACTATGAATAGAAATGGAAGGGGACATAATCCAGATATGAGCAGATATTCCTTTTATAAAACACATGGCATTATCTCAAGCGTACATGCACAGTTCAGCAATTCATTGGCTTGAGATAATGCCATGTTGAGATGTGATGTACATAAATCTTCTTACTCTTATCTTCCCTCATTCTTTCCACCTCCCCCCGCTCCTGGCAGCAGGAATAAGGGGATGTCATTCAGAAAGAAACAAGTTTCATTTGGACAGTCAGGGGAAATACGTAGCTTCACATCACTTTTGTCAGGACATTGCTACAACAGGTTTACTGCTCAGCACAATTCAGAACGAAAACGAACATGAAATCAAAGCCTTGCTATATTCTCGCTTTCACAGTATTAGATAGTAAGTACATTAAGAAGATTAAAAAAAACTTCAAAAGAGTTCAGATTGACTCCCTTACACTTACACAACAAGTGCAATTTTGCAAAAGAAATACATGTTCATTCTCAAAATCCTCCAGATGCCAGGACCGTTACTTGATGCTTTTATAGTTGAAATTTGCCTGAGTTTTACATTTCTGAGATTCCGAGTTCCAAAGTGTGTTCCAGTTGTGAGTGAATTCTAGCTTCACATGGTCTGTTTGCTTTTTGCCTGAGTGATATTCTTAGATTGAGCTAAAGCGTTCTAGTCATTTGCTGAAAGCTAGCTAGCCTTTCACTGTTTAGATTTGCTCCAACACATGAATGGGATCCATGTCTGGAATACAAAGGTTTTCTACCTGTACTTGTTCTTTATCTAATCAGGTTGGTGATTAAAATAATTGGACATAATTGCACTTGAGTTGCGCAGGCCAGATTCTGTTCGAGTCCTGGTCGACTCTTATCTTCAAGCTTTAGCATCTCTGAATTGGAGAAGGAAGACTCGTCCAGGCTTCTAGAGTACCTCCAGCTGGACATCAAATCAGATTGGGATCAAACTTGGCTTTAATGCTGCTCCCATGATCGAATAGCCAACTGCCACTATACAATGGGGCTCAGGAGACCAATGGGCACTTGAAAAAGGTGTCAAAGGAATTGTCCCACAGGATAAAAAGAATTGGGCAAGGAGGCAGGAGAGGGGAGATGATTAGGAGGAGAAAGAAAATCATTAAAGTAAAAGCAGCTTTGTTTCCTATTGTACATGGGACACCCCTGCCCCCCCACAGATCTGGAGAGCTGAACCAATGCCTCAGAACCTGTTGACTGGTTAGATCTTCAGCACAAAGTAATGCAGGTCTTCCTTCTCAATGCACACATCTATTGGCTCAGAGTATCATAGAATCATAGAATCATAGAATATTACGGCACAGAAGGAGGCCATTTGGTCCATCGAGTCTGTGCCGGCACTATGACAGAGCAACTGACTTTTATTAACCCTACTCACCAGCTTTCTCCCCATAACCCTGCAAATCTGTCTTCTCCAGATACCTATCCAGTTCTCTCTTAAAAGCTGTTATCGAATCGGACTTCACTGCCCTTTCAGGCAGATCATTCCAAATTCTAACAGCTCGCTGAGTGAAAAAAATTCTTCTAACCTCCCCTCTGCTTCTTTTGGTAGATATCTTAAGACTTAAGACTCTACCACATCCCAACTCCCAACTCCTCCGTCCCCCCCGCCACCCCGCGCAGGTCATCTCCTCCAACCTTCACTGTGAGGAGATGCTGGATTTCCTTGAATCCAAAATCAAGGGAATTCGCTCCGCGGTCACTTCCTCTCCAACATCCACCCACCAGCCACCCCTTCCCTCCCACACTCTGACTCCTACCCATCCTCCCCTACACACTTTCATACCCGTTTCCCCACCCTCTGTCACCAAACTCATCCTATCCCTGAAACCCACCACCTGCTCCCTTGACCCCATCCCCACTCCACTCCTTATCTCCCAGCGCCACCTCCTTGCCCCACATAGCACAGACATCATCAACCTGTCCCTCTCCTCTGGCTCTGTTCCCATTCCCTTAAAAACTGCCACCATCACTCCCACCTTGAAAAAACCCTCCCTTGATGCGTCGCAGCTATCAAGCTACCGGCCCATCTCCAACCTCCCCTTCCTGTCCAAGGTCCTGGAACGAGTTGTCGCCTCCCAGCTGCGCTCTTTCCTCTCCAACCATTCATTACTCGAACCCCTTCAGTCGGGTTTCCGTGCTGCCCATAGCACAGAAACTGCCCTGGTCAAGGTCACCAATGACATCCTGACCATCTGTGACCAGGGCTCCCTCTGCCTCCTCGTCCTCCTCGACCTATCGGCAGCATTCGATACGGTCGACCACGCTATCCTCCTCCACCGCTTGTCCTCCCACCTAAACCTTCAAGGCCCTGTCCTTGAGTGGTTTAGGTCGTACCTCTCCCACCGTCTTCACTTTGTCTCCACAAATGTTTTTTCCTCCGGCCCCCGCACTGTCTCGTGCGGTGTCCCTCAGGGCTCTGTCCTCGGTCCCCTCCTCTTCACCCTCTATATGCTCCCCCTGTGGTGACATCATCCGCAGACATGGGGTTAACTTCCACATGTATGCGGATGACACCCAACTCTACCTTTCCTCCTCTACCCTCAACTCCACGACCACCGATGTCCTGACAGCTGCCTGTCCGACATCGAGTCCTGGACGAGAGATAACTTTCTTCAGCTCAACGTGCGCAAAACTGAGGCCCTCCTGATTGGCTCGCGTCAGCGCCTCCGCACCTCAGGCGCTGACAGCATCAGCATCCAAGGCTGCACTCTCCACCTCTCAAAGCCAGTCAGGAACCTCGTGTTTTGTTCGACCCTGAGCTGTCCTTTCTCCCTCATATCCGCGCCACAACTGGCACCGCCTTCCATCACCTCCGGAATATCGCCAGACTACGGCACTACCTCACCCCTCACGCTGCTGAAACTCTGGTCCACGCCTTTATCACCTCAAGGCTGGACTATGGGAACTCTCTCCTCGCCGGCCTTCCCGGCCCTCCCTCCACACTGCAGGTCATTCAGAACTCTGCAGCTCGTGTACTGTCCCGCACCAGGCTTCGGACCACATCACTCCCACCCTCGCTCGCCTCCACTGGCTCCCCATCCCCCAGAGGATCGAATTCAAGATCCTCATCCCCACCTACAAGGCCATTCACGGCCTCGCTCCCTCCTACCTCTCCAACCTACTATCCCCCTACTTACCTGCCCGTACCCTCCGTTCCTCTGGCTCCGGTCTGCTCCACATCACCCGCCCCAACTGCCCTTCCATCGGTGGCCGGGCCTTCAGCCTGTCAGCCCATAGGCTCTGGAACTCCATCCCCCAGTGCCTTCGCCTTGCTTCCTCCCTTTCCTCCTTCAAGGCCGGTCTCAAGACCTTTCTCTTTGACCGTGCCTTCACCTCCCCTCTCGACTCTCTACCCCCTCCTCGCTCCTTCCCTTCCCTCCCCTCACCCTGACCATTTCCCCCCTGCTCAGGTCCTGACCGAACTGTACAGCGCTTTGGGACGTCCTCCCGACGTGAAAGGCGCTCAATAAATGGAATCTTGTTGTTGTTAAGACTTAAGTATCAAGTAGCAGGTAGGAAGCTTAACATGCTGTTTTCTATGGGTGGGGGGGTGAGGGTCTGATATTTATACTGTGGCCATTCTCTCACAGGGTAAGGGGTTATTTACCGAGCAGCAGTAGTTTGACTGTTCTTGCATCTTTCTCGGCATCTTCCTTCAACTTCTTCTCCAGCTCCCTTGAGTGCTTCTCCTCAGCACTGGCTCCTGCTCCCATGGCGATGAGGTTCTGGAAGAGCTGTTGCTTTCAGAAGAATGTTCCCTCAGGCGTGTCTCTGAGCTTACACTCAGCCCCTAGAGTGTGCCCCGACACTGTCTCTGGAACCAGTAGCCGCAAGAGAAATGTGTGGGTTACCTCGGCTGCATGGACATGGACTGGCTCGCTCTGGTCTCCAGATCTCGCCTCCCACACTTCTTGGAAGGATTTTGGAGTTTGGCCGCACCACATGAGAAGAGCACTCCAATCAGAGGCAAGGACAACAAGAGGAAGGTAAAAGGTGTGTAGAGCAGAGAATTAGTGACTTGCTGTAGTCAGCTGAAGCCGTGGTCCAATTCGGAGGTAAATCCTTAAATCTTCATGCTGCAACTGAATAACAAATAGGTCTTAGAAACCATCTGGGCTGAATTAGAAGCCAGTGTATCTGTCCGCGTGTGTGTTACTATCATTGTTGTTCAATTATCTTATGAAAAATGTTACATCAAATTGTACTGTATTTCTCTACTGCTCTGATGATTGTAGTGGGGAAGTTAGGGGCAACAGTGAGAATATTACAGACTTGATATCATTTTGTGAAGAGGGCAAGTTTTTTCTGTATATTGTAAGGGAGGAGGCGGGGTGTCCATTCATTGTGACCACATTGACACAAACAACTTTTATTGACTAATCGATCACTCTTTCTTAGCAATTTAAATCATAATCTTTTCACTTTTTTCTTTCACTTTCCTTTAGTGAGTGGCTAAACTGTTTCACTGGCATACAGATCATTGCCTACATCAAACTCACTCTCTCTTATCTAGTGGATTTGATGGCTCTGTTCACAGCTTACTCGGGTTGAAAGCTGCTGATATGATTAGTGGTTTTGTAAGACCGCTTGTCAAGTCTGATTGACCTCAATCCCATCCAAAGGAAATATAACCAGGTTGGGACCTTGATCCGGTAAATAAAACTGTGTGATGGGTGGAGAGCAATGGGTGAAGAGTCCCAAACAGTGCCTCGGGACATTCCCCAGACATGAAAGGCGCTATACGAATGTCATTTTGTATTGTATTTGGAGCTCGTGAGGAACACGGCAACATGGATCTTGTTGCAGCCGGCTTCAAAGATTGTCTCTATTTGAAGAATCTCGGCTTATCACAATTAACTTTCATCAAATGGACCAAATGGTTCTACTCCTTCTGAACTTTCCTCTGTGTCCTACACAGGCTCTGAGTGGTGACGGACCTAAATACCACTTGTTGGAACTTAGAGCTCACAGTCTAGGCTGACTCTCCAATGCAGGGGCCATTTTTCAGGTGACATGTTTAGCCAAAGTCCCATCTGCCTATTTAGGTGGACGTTAAAGATACGATTCAAAAAGGGAAAAAAAGTTTCTCCCGGTGTCCTAGTCAACGACTGCAGATAAAAATTGATCATTGGGACATTGCTGTATTCAATTTGGCTGTTGAGTTTGCCTACAAAACACACACAGTCATTACAATAATTCCTGTGAAATGCTTTGAGACATCTCTCCAGACGCTCTCCTTGCATTTGGTACAGCAAATTATCACATCAACAACAACAATTTGCATTTATATGGCGCCCTTCACACGGAGTTGCGCTCCGTCCCACTCCGGGACACTACCCTACGTGAAGGGCGCTATATAAATGCAAGTAGTTGTTGTTGATGTATCAAATACAAGGATTATTACATATTATTACAATTGGAACTCAGAAAGGTGCTGGAAATCTTTTTTTCTTGGAAAGCTTGTGTGCAAATCTTTGTCAGTCCAGTGCTTTGGGACGTCCTCTTGACATGAATGGTGCGATATAAATTTAATTTGTTGTTGGTGTTGGAAAGTAATCGATAGGTGTTCTTGTGATTAAATTCATATTGGCTACTAGTAATATATCCAAACCACTGCCCAATGTTGAGCTTTTCCATTACACTCAATTTCTGCTGCACATAGGACTATCACTGATTCCTGTCCCATGTATCTAACCAGAAAACATCGGAGTCATTGACAAAGGTCAGCTCACATCTTTCCGGTGATCAGACTGAGGCCCTCCTGATTGGCTCCCGTCAGCGCCTCCGCACCTCAGGCGCTGACAGCATCAGCATCCAAGGCTGCACTCTCCACCTCTCAAAGCCACTCAGGAACCTCGGGGTTCTGTTCGACCCTGAGTTGTCTTTTCTTCCCCACATCCGCGCCACAGCTGGCACCGCCTTCCATCACCTCCGGAACATCGCCAGACTACGGCACTACCTCACCCCTCACGCGGCTGAAACTCTGGTCCACGCCTTTATCACCTCAAGGCTGGACTATGGGAACTCTCTCCTCGCCGGCCTTCCCGACACCTCCCTCCACAAGCTGCAGGTCATTCAGAACTCTGCAGCTCGTGTAATGTCCCGCACCAGGCTTCGGGACCACATCACTCCCACCCTCGCTCGCCTCCACTGGCTCCCCATCCCCCAGAGGATCGATTTCAAGATCCTCATCCTCACCTACAAGGCCATTCACGGCCTCGCTCCATCCTACCTCTCCGACCTACTATCCCCCTACCTACCTGCCCGTACCCTCCATTCCTCTGGCTCCGGTCTGCTCCACATCCCCCGCCCCAACCACCCTACCATCGGTGGCCGGGCCTTCAGCCTCTCAGCCCCGAGGCTCTGGAACGCTATCCCCCAGTGCCTTCGCCGCTTCCTCCCTTTCCTCCTTCAAGGCCGGTCTCAAGACCTTTCTCTTTGACCGTGCCTTCAGCTCCCCTCTCAACTCTCTACCCCCTCCTCAATCCCTCCCTTCTATCCCCTCACTCCTCGACCCCCTGCTCGGTCCTGACCCAACTGTCCAGTGCTTTGGGACGTCCTCCCGACGTGAAAGGCGCTCTATAAATGGAAATTTGTTGTTGTTGTTGTTGTTGTTTGATTGAGGGTTTAAATTCATGCTGGTTGTAATAACCCATTCAGAGTGATTCAAATTAAAGCGTAATATTCTCCACTCATCTCTCTGTCGCTGTTCTCTCACCCAAGGCCACAAAAAAGTTAACCCCTTTGATTCTCCATGTGGAGAAATTTCCAACAGTGGCCAAAGTGTCAAGATGCCAAGCCCAGGCCAGTTGCTTTCCTTTCCATTCCCTCTGCTCGGTGGGCACTGGCCTGCTCCTTATCACCCACCTTGCCCACCCCAACAGCAGCAGTAATGGCTTCAACCTTTCTGCCCCCACTTTCTGGAACTCCATCCCGGAGCCCCTTTACCTCATCCCCTCCCTTTCCTCCTTGAAGGCCCATTTCAAGACCTTCCTCTTCAACCAAGCCTTGAATCATCCTCCCACCTCCACAACCCTTTGCCTTCCACCCTCTTAATGTATAACCCACAGCTCAGGTGCGAACCTTTCACTGTCCAGCGCTGTGGAATGTCTTCCCAAGACATCAGATAAATGCAATTTGTTGTGGATATTCAAAATAACAGTGAGATTGAGAGCTTCCTTGGAGAATCTTTCAAGATCAGTGGCCAGAGCAGCCTCAGCCAGAGGCCCCGAATAAGTAATCTGGGCTGACATGAGCGTGGTAATAATAATAATAATAATAATAGTCATAATGTGAAAGGGCAGCAGTATAAAAACAGGAAAATATGAAGGAAAAGCTTTTCAATGCCAAAAGCAGCAGAGGCTACTGTGGACTTTTTTCACAAGATCAGTTCAGATCTTTTGGTCCATTTAATCTCATCCCTCCAGAGCACTCACCTACCCTTTGCCCACCACTGCATCAAGCTGCTCTTTATGATAAAAATAATTCTTGCATTTGGTATAGCACCTTATCACGTCAGAAGGAGTGCTTCACAGGATTTACTGTGAAATGGATTCATTGCGTGTTTTGTGGACGAAACGTGGCAGCACAATTGCACGCAGCAATGTCCCACAAACAGCCATGGAGTGAGTAACAAATATTTTCTTATTTTTGGGAGACTGTTGGCCAGGACACTCGGAGAAACTCTCTTCCCTTTTCGAATAGCACTATGGGATCTTTAACGCCCACCTGAACAGGCAGATGTGACCTTGGTTTAATATTTCATCCGAAGGAAGGCAACCATGACAATGCAACACAAACCCAGCACTGCACTGGAGTGTCAGCTTGTCTTAGGCTATGTGAGTTCAAGTCCCAATGTGGGATCTGAACCCACAACCTGTTGATTCAGAGGTGAGAATGCTGCCACTGAGCAAAGCTTATACATGATTTTTAAAAGAGTCCAATGCCCTGGTCTCAACCACCCTTCCTGACAACCTGATCCAGTTATCCAGTTATTGATTGCTCTTGGCATAAAAAAAANCTTTCTGGTGTCTGTCTTGAAACTGCCCTTTACAATTCCAAACCTGTGTCCTCTCATTCTACAGTCATAGTGCATCCTAAAATATAGACCTGGGTTTACTTTTTCAATCCCTTTTAACATTTTGTGCTCCATGATGAGGTCCCCTCTGAATCATCTACTTGCAAAAGAGCCCCAGCTTGTCATATAGTTACTCATAGCTCATTCCTCTAACACAGGGGATCCGCCCTGTTTGCCCTCCTCTGAACCTCCTATCAGGCCTTACTTTGCAGTGACCAGAACCATATGCAGTATTCAAAGTGTGGTCTGACCAGAGCCCTGTACAGTCTGAGTATGACACAGGATTTGTGAGAAGTCAACACACCCAAATGTGACCCATGGCCTGACTGACTCAGACTGGCTGACTCAGACTGACTGACGCACGGCCTATTGCTTTTGGAGCCAAAGAAACACTTTGGCCTGGAAATCTGTCATGGAAAAATCACTCAGTTTCCTAAACCTTATCTTTTTTGAGTTTCTGTGAAATGAGAGTATGTGGATATGTGTCAATGTGACAGTGTGAGTATGCAGGGTCAAAGTGTGCGGGCATAACCGTGTGTGTGTAAGTGTGTGCAAGTGTGTACTGTATATGTGTGTGTATATGTATTTGTGCATATATATATATATATATATGCTTGCCAGTGTGCAAGAGCCTGC